GCACGTCGTCCGTTGCTGAGATGAGCAGCATCCCGTCACCGTCGTCGTGCAACTTAACGCCGTTCTCCTTCAGCTGACCGGCCTACAGCAGGTTCGCGTGCACGCCCGGGACGTACAGCACGTTGAGGATGAGCACCCGCTTCCTGGCCTCTTCTTGCAGAGCAACCGTGCCGCGGCTGTGGACATCCTGCAGCGCCCCATTGAAGCCGCGCACGTGCTTCATGTCGCCGCTCGGCTCCAAGTCGACGAAGACGTCCTTCGTCACCATCAGGTGGTGCGAGCAGCCGCTATCGAGCAGGACCGCCGCCGGGTTTGCCTGCACTGCTACTGCCACTTCCTGAAAGTCCTCGCCGACCTCCGGTGCCAGCGAGACGATCGGCTCCACAACATCGATCAGCGAGCACGACGCCTCCCCGTCGCCGCGCCCCTTGCCGCAAGCAGAGGAGTTGGCGTCCTTCGCCGAGGTTGACTTATTTGACTGCTTCTCCTTCCGCGGCTTGTTTCCTCGACATGGACGACGGCTGGCCGACCTCCTATGGCCTTTCTCGGCGTCGTCATCGTCGGAGTCACTGTGGTCGGGGCACTCAAAGGAGAGGTGGTCGGGCTGTGGCAGATGCAGCACTCCCGACGCCAATTTCTGCCTCCTCGACCACCGTCCTTAGCCGGCTTCTGCTTTGTCGGCATCCTTGGTCGGACTACTGCATCTGCTTCCATTGCCGCCAGACTGACCGCGCTGCCCTGGTCAACCACCTTGTTTCGTCGGGGCAGCGTAGTTCACCTGCGTCAGGAGCTCCAGGGACCGCTCGGCCTCTTGGATCGCCTCGTCCCTGAGAATATACGAGGTCAAGGAGTCCTCGTTGAGTGTCGCCCACGTGCTCGGCACCACGGACAGCCGCTTCATCAGGTTGTAGCTGCTTGGAAGTCCCTCTAGGACGTAGGTGACATACGACGCCGTCGAATATTGCACGCCGGACATCCTCATGGTGGCAAGAAGTCGCCGAGCCCGGTTGCAATAGCTGGTCGCCGTCTCCTGGTCGCCCATTCGCAGATGCGTCATCTGTTCCTCGAGCTGGCCGATGTACAGGTCGTCGGTGACATCGTACGTCGACCCAATGAAGTGCCACGCCTGGTGGCCAGCGTCCAGGTAGTGCCAGCATCGCTTCAGGGCGATCTGCACTCCCGGCAATCAGCACCGCGAAATGACCGTGAAGGTCAGTAGCTGCACAACGCGAAACTCTGTACGCGGGTGGGGGTAATTCTTCGACGGCATCACCACGGTGCCGGCGGCGAAGCCCATCAACCCGGCCATCTCCAGCTGGGGCTCGATGGCTTCCTTCCACGTGAAGATGTCGGGACGACCGACAGTCGGGACTCAGATGTCACCTGTGAACAAGGGAGTCACCGAAGATGTCGGGATGTCGACGAGAAGAAGTCGACGCGGGACAAGGGTCGTAGAGGTGGTGGTCGACGGCGGGAGTGCTGGATATGCGACGATCCCGACCATCTCTCCTTCGAGTGCCGCGACCGCAATGACAGCGACGAGGATGACACCAAAGGAGGTCGTGGCCGGTCGACCAGCGGTCGCCCCCGTCAAGATGAGAAGCTGCGCAAGGAGAAGCAGACGCCGAAGAAGACGTCGTTGACGAAGGACGTCGACAACTCCAGCAGCAAGGGCCGAGGCGATGAGGAGGCATCATGCTCGATGGTCGGCGTGGTGGAGCCGACAGTCTTGCTGGCACTGGAGGCTAGCGAGGACTTCCAGGCGGTGGCGGCAACTGTGCAGGCCAACTCGATGGTGGTGCTTCTCGACAGCGGGTGCTCCCACAATCTGATGGGGACAAAGGCAGTCTTCGTCGACATGGCGCCGAGCGACAGTGTGAAGCATGTGCGTGGCTTCAATGGGGCGTTGCAGCCTATCAAGGGTCGTGGAGCCGTCGCTCTACAAGGGGAGGCCGGGAAGCGGGTCCTCATCCCCGACGTGCTCTACGTTCCGGGCATACAGGCAAACCTGCTGTCAGCTGGCCAATTGAAGGAAAGTGGAGTGCAGTTGCGGGGCCACGGCGATGAGATGCTGCTCGTCGCCACGACCGTGGAGGTGCTCTGTCGACCACGCTACGCCGGATGAGTCCTCTGCACCGACCTTTGCCCCTGCTCGATGCGGTCGCCATCGACAGAGTTAGTAGCTTTGCGGACGATCGTCTCGGCGAAGAAATCGACCCCCAACCGTTTGAATGCGAGGCTCGCAAACGTCGGCGTCGACACGATCAAGAGCTCGGCGAAGCATGAAGTTGCTACTGGGCTCGACATCACTCCGTCGACTGGAGCAGACCCGCCGTGTGTCTCGTGCGTCAGAGGAAAGCTGGCGCGGCACACCTTCCATGCCAAGGGCTCAGACGCCAAGGAGGCAATGGCTGTCGTGCACATTGATTTGTGCGGGCCATTTCGAATGGCTGCCAAGGATGGCAGCCTGTACTTCCTGATGCTGAAGGATCCGCACACTCGGTTTGTGTGGACGATGTAGGTCGCTAAGAAGAGCGATGTGCTGTGGGAGTTCCAGAGGTGGCTGGTGCTGGTGGAACGGTAGACAAAGAACTCAATGCTGTTGCTTCACTCCGACCGGGGAGGGGAGTTCCTCAAAAAGGATTTCACCAACTTCGTCGACACGAAGGGCATCGTCCACGACCTGACGTGCCCCTACACTTCATAGTAGAACAGCATGGCTGAGCGGGAGATGCGCACGGTCCTTGAGTCCGTGCGAACGATGCTGCTGCACATGGGCGTGCAGCACCACTAGTGGTGTGTAAAAGGCGAAGTATGGGCGGCGTGCAGCACCCGTCGACAGACACCTCGACGGCGACATTCTTGCTGCTTGCCAGGGTTTACGAGCTTGCTGATGAGGAAGTCAAGAAAGTCCTCCCTCCGCCCCCTGTTCTTGCTCCTCCCTCCCCCGTCGCAGATCGGCCTGCGTCGACGCATGTGTCGGCCACTGGCGATGAGGGGAGCCTTGAGGCGTAGCCTGAGGCACCGGCTAGTGGCATCGCCGGCGGCCGACAAGGCGCAAGCTCGTCGAGAAGGATGTGAAGCCGTTGACGACAGGGGAGCAGCAGACAGGGGAGCCAGTCGAACAGGAGGCAGTAGCAGGGGTGCAGTCGACAAGGGAGCAGCAAACGGGGCGGTCGCCAGGGGAGCTGTCGAAGTCAGCAGGAGGTGAACAGCCGGTCGAAGGGACGAAGCAGCTGGTCGACGACGTGGACGTCGACGAGGAAGGGGAGCTGTCGGCAGGAGAAGAGTCAACCGACAGTGATGTGGTGGAGGTTCCGATCGAGAAGCCTGACCTGCGACGCCGAGGTCGAACTCGGAAGCCGCCGGAGCGGCTAGTCTTCCATGCCTGCCTGCGCCCAGCTGCTTTCACCATGGTGTACGACGAAGCCGACGATGACCTGCTCTACGACGACGCCAAAGATGACGTCGACCTGCTAGAGCTCGACTCCAACATACATGCTGACCCCGAATACCGCTGGGACATCGCCACAATAATGGTAAAGGAGGCGTTGGCGAGCTGGAAGGGCGAGGCAGTGAAGGCTGCCATGGACGAGGAGATCTGTAGCCAACGGCACGTGGGAGCTGGTCGAACGCCCGCGCGGGTTAAACATCATGAATAACCGGTGGGTGCTGACGACCAAGTACCGCATCGACGATACCGTCAAGCGCGAGAAGGCGAGGATGATCGTGAAGGGCTTCACGCAGATGTACGACGCCGACTACAACGAGACGTACTCGCCGGTGAGTAGTTACGTCACGTTGAGGATCTTTCTCAGCATCGTCGCCGTCCTCGACCTCAACCTGATGCAGCTCGATATGAAGAACGCTTTCCTGCAGAGTAAGCTCGACCGGGTGCTATACATGTACCAGCCGGACTACTTCAACCACGTGACCGGCCGGGTGTGCAAGCTGCTGAAGAGCCTCCGTGCTAAAGCAGTCGCCGCTGCTGTAGTACAGGGCTCTCAACGGAGTGTTGCTAGGCGCTGGCTGGAAGAAGAGCCAGGTCGACACAGTGCTCTACTTCAAGGTCAGCGACGATGGAGTGACCTGCAGGGTGCTGGTCTACGTCGACGACCTCTTCGCCGCCAGCTGTAGCACCACGATGTTGAAGGAGCTGCTGGAGGCCACCTTTGAGCTGCGGGAGATCTCGCCGGTGGTGAAGTATCTGAGGTTGGAGATCGTGCACGACAGGCCGGCAAGGAAGCTGTGGCTGCATCAGCAGAACTACGCCAACAATCTGCGCAGGCGCTTCATCGACGAGGAGCAGACCGAGCGCGGCAGGGGAGTGTTAACGGGAGTGGAGTGTTGGCCCTGCCCTCGCTTGGGCATCGCCGACGACTTGGTCGGATGTATGGGAGAAGCAGCCGACCGTTCGCAGTGAAGGAGCTGCTCAACGGGCTTCATCGAGCTGTAGGGGTTCACTCTAGTGTTGCCGTCGACCAGGAGTGCTTGGCAGCCTTCTTCCGCGGGGCAGGTTGATGAGGTGGCTGTCGACCTGTACAGGACTGTCACAAGGCTGGAGCCGTCGACCAGGGAGCTCGACAGCTGCAGCTGACTGGGCTGGGCTACGGGTGGGCCGTCGATTAGGAGGAGCAGTTCGACCGGGAGGTCGACGGAGCAGTCTGTCGACCCGATATGTGAGAAGCGGTCGACGAGGGGAGCTCGGCGACAATAGCTGACAGTTCTGGTCGACGAAAGGGGTCCGTCAACGAGGGGTAGCTTGACGGTAGCCAGGGCTGACGTTTTGTTTTGAGCCTCCCTGATTCCGGGGAAAATTTTCCCCCTGTATTATGAGGGCACATTTTTCACAAGGTAGCTACTCTGATAGCTCAGTGTCCAGAAGAGTCCTACTCTGATTCATCAGGGTTCACAACATAAAATCAGGGTTATGTCAAGAACTTGCACTTCACTTCACAATGTCTGTTATATTATCTTGGATCTTTCCTATCCTAAACAATCTAGTGCACGGGCATCTTAATGTGGTATACCTCCTCCACGTCGTCATCGTCCGACCGGAAGGGGTTGTCCTCCTCCTCCTCCTCCTCCCCCTGATCATCGTCCAGGTCCTGTTCCACTTCATCCTCCTCCTCCTCCCCCTCATCCTCGTTCTCCCCTGCAATTCTAGCAGCCACATCTTCACCCTCCTTCTGCTTCCCCTTCCTGTCCCTCTCTGCCACATCCAGCTTCAAGCTCTTCGCAGGGCGCCTCCTCCGCATGGACCTCCAGACCTCCAGTGCTTCAGGCCTGTTGATCTCATACCTCAGGAGCGAGATCTGCATTAGCTCCCCTAGTCGTGCGTTGCAGAGCGCTCCTCGCACCCAGGACTTGATGACGTTCTGCCTAGAGAAACCCCTCTCGCACTCCACGGTGGAGAGGGGGAGCACAGCGAGCGCCTGCCACAGCAGGATGAGGTTGGGCCATCTCCTGCCAGGCGCATTCAAGCACGCAAGAACACACGTTAAGCATGACAAGTACCACTCAGAAACAGCATTGGCACGAGCAGTGCGCTACCTCTTTGAGTCTGCGCTGCCAAGAAAGTTGGACAGCCCCTGCGTGAAGCTCTCCAGCTCATGGTGTATCTCCATAATCGCACAGAATGTCGGGAGCTCCCTCTCCACTGCCTTGAGGTCGGATCCCGGCAGCTTGTTGCGGAACAACTTGCTGCATCCCTGCAGCCTCTCCTTGCACTTCTTCTCTCGCTGCACCTTGATCTTCGGCCACTTCCCCGCCTGGAACAGCTTTGTCGACCCCAGCTTCCCTGGGTCTTCTAGACGGTCGGTGAGGTTGTCCACGTAATCCCGGGCAAATCTGTGGCACAGCTTGATGCAATTGGCGTAGGTACTTCCCTGCTTGTGCCCCTTCAGCTTCCTCTCGTGCATGGTGTAGAGGTGGTTGATTGGGCGTCCTGTCCCGTCCACGCCTCGCACCCGGACCTGCTTGCCTCCACCCTCCTTGTGGACCTTGAGAAAGTTGACCAGCTAGCTTTTGCCCTCTCCTCCGAACGCCTTGTCGGTCGACAAGTACCGCTCCGTCAGATCCCCCGTGGTGGACTCAATGGTCTTTGTAATCTCTGTCACATCCAGCTGACACAGAACAGACATAGGAACGGGATAAACGATTAGAAACATTCGAAGATTAGATGATCAAACTCATCCATTCTCGTAATGTGCAAAAACCTCACATCACATCGCTGGAAGCAACAGTTGAGGTCGTTCATGTCGGCGAGGATGTCGGCGAGGAAGAACACGCAGAACCGGAACTTGTAGCACGTCACAATCTCGTAGGCCTTGTGGTTGTGCTCCCAGAGTAGCACGATGCAAGCGCCGAGTACCTTGCATAGCCGGCGAACCGCATCCCCTCATGACAGCCATCGAACCGTGTGGATTCCTTGGACTTCAAGATTGGTGTTGTAGATCACTCGCTGCAGGTACTTGAAGCGTTGACTCCACATGCTAGAGTTTCCGAGCGGCGTCGCCACTGTGCGAACCACCTTATCCACCATCCTAAGGCCTGGATTTGATTCAGCAGCGTCCTTCACCGCCAAAGCCTCCCTGTTGGACGAAGGGGACATAATACAACAGCTGTTAGTACATCTACGGAGACGTGTATAGGTGTGGAAAACAACTACGAAACCCACCGATGGGCGATGCAGTGACATGAAAACATGTGCGAGACGTGATCCCGAAGACGCGCCACCAATCTGTGGTCCTTCCCCGTCATGACCGACGCCCCATCCGTGCTGATGCCAACGATCTTGGACACATCGACGGATGCAGAGCGAAGATGGTTCAGCAGCACCTCGAACAAAGACCCAGCGTCACACCTCTCAACAGTCAGCAAGGTAAAGAACTCGCATGCGACTTGGCGATCCTTCAAAAACGTCAGGTACAGAATCATGTGTTTTTCACGCGTTCGGTCGGTGCTCTCGTCGCAGCTGATGCCCAGGAAGGGGGAAGCAAGGATGTGGTCCATCTGCACCCGCGTGAGGTAGGTACTGATGCTGTGCACCATCTGCTGGAAGTCGCAGCTGCACAAGTGAGAGTCGAATGGTTAGTAACTGTTAAATAAACTATGCAAACTCAACAACCGTCATGAAGCAACAGATTGAAAGAACGACGTACCGTGTCAGATAGACGCCGTAGGATTGTCGCGGAATGTCGGGCGTGTCCTGCTCGGCAAGATGCCGCATCAGCTTCGGGAACATGCTGATCGGCGCGTCGCACTGGCATAGAAACTGCGTGGACCGCATAAGTTTATTCTCACGTCGCCCCTCGACGTCCGAGTTGATGAAGTCCAAAATGGCATGCTGACCCTCGTGGATCCCCTGCGCAATCTTCATCTGCCGATCCACCGCCGTTGTGTGAGCGTCCGTGTGCTCGTGCACCCTGAACGACTGCGTCTGCAAGTCACGGCCACCGTCATCACCTTGCCTGGCGTACTTTGTGTTCTCCTTCCCGTACGACATGCAGATGCTGCACTTGACGTAGGGAAAACCGTCCTTGGTTTTTCCAAACACGAGCCACGAAATCATGCCCGGCCACTTCATCTCGTAGTTGATAGACGCCTCAAGGTACATCTGCTCTCTCAGCTGCATCTTCGTGAGTGCGGGCGATGGCGGACCAAGGTTCACCCGCACTGTGCATGGAGTGGGACTAGGTGAGGGCGGTGGGGGATCTTTACTGCAAGAAGCAAAAGCGGGGGGTAGAGTGAAGGTGGCAGGACGGGGAGAGTTTGATGGAGTGGGGATTACTCTATCTGCAGAGTCGTGAACGGTTGACCTAGGAGGATCGGGAGTCACTGGAGCACCGCTAGTTCTATGAAAATCGAGCCCAGAGTAGGGGGCATCTGTAGCTTTCTCTGGCAGGATTGGCTCAGTCGGTTTCGCTAGTTAAGGTGGGTCATCAGGGCCAGCCTGGGGTGAAGCATCGTCGGCCGGCAGGCCTTCCATGGCGGCGAGATAAAAGAACGATGGAGCGGGACAATTGTGAAGACGAAAGGACGAAATGAGAATAAGAGCAGTAGCACTTCCACAAGCAGTGCTGGGGGTAGGGAGAAGGAAGGGATGGATGGAGATGGCGGGGCCATCAAGAAACCACCGCGTCGCGAAGCCACGAAATTGATGTTTCGTGTCGTCAATGAATTCGGCCTTGGATGCAAGGCGGTTATTAAACGACTGCAAGACTAACAGCGCCGACTGTCAAGATGCTGCCGAAAGTTGATTTCCGATGTGAGGAGATGCGCGGTCTAAGAGAAAGTGGGTCTAATAGCAAGTGTTACGGGTGTAATGGAACGATATAGGAAGGATTGCACTAGGTGTCAAACGAGTACAAAGTATGAGCGAAGGCATGGGTGAATACTTATACACGAAACATGCAAACGGTAACGCGGTGCACGCGAGCTAGCTAGTGCTACGCTGGCATCGAGGTTCGGGCTAGTCCCGAAGCGTAGGCCGACTCGGCCGGGTCAGCAGTGCATGGTTTGGTGAAACATTGTGCGCGAAGTTGGGCAAAGCCCTATTAGCAGTAACGGGCGAATAACGGCTGTTGCTATATGCGATGTTGCTGGTCGCATGTGTCAAGGCTGCCCCCCACGCTTGCAGGGAAGGGACTAAACAGAGCGAGCAATTGTGTGGGGAAAAACATGCTGGATGAATCTTGGCGGGAACCTGATGCTGCCGCGCATCAGCTGGTGCGCGCATGCTGCAAGCTCTCCACGACGCACCATGCGCGCATCATGTTAAGGTGAAGCCCTGCACGCACCTGGTTTCGCGTGTAGCAGCCCTATGCGATGTAGCAAGGCTTCGCATACCGCGTACCGGAGCTTCGGTATTCGCCGAGTATACTCCAATAGTGCATTCGGTATGCACTGTTCAACACTAAACCGAATTGGAGGGAAGTGACGACATTGCAAAAACGATTATGCTGTCTATGGCGAGCACATGCGCAACTACTCCTGGGCAGGTAGAAAATGCACCTGACGGTATTTTCACCTGATGGTATTTTCACCTGGCGGTGCCAACCTGGAACCGCATACTAGAGTAGGTGCTTGCACGTTCTCCTTGAACAACGTTCTTCATAAACAACGTTCTTGTAGAACATTCTCGCACATGTCACTATGTTTCCTATAAGGTTCATATTGTATCTGTTGTAATCAATCAATTAATCAAATACTTTCCTTTCATTACTGGCTACCAAGCCTGTTGTTGCATACCAAGCGTACTGTTCTCCAAATACAAGTATCAGGTTTCCAGCAAGTCCGTACACGGAAATCTCGCACTTCACTCTCCGATCGTGCAGCTCTGCGCCTAGGCTCTCCCATGATCGCCTATTCTCCGCATGGTGCGGTGGGTGTGGATGTATCCGCGAACTTCAGATAGCCTCGAATACGATTGACAAAGTTGTCAACCTTGGGCCGGCAGCCACTTCAATTCCGTATGGTTGGCGAGGGCGCCGCTAAGGAAATCATGGACGTGGAGACGCAGGTCGCTACTTTGCGGGAGCGCCACAGCCGTGGTGAAATCAGCGACGCAATTCTGGAGCTGATGATCGAAGGAGCTCGTGCGAAATGGGCTCGCGATCACCCACCTTGTTGTGCTGAGGCGGAAATTGAGTCCGCTTCTCCCCGTGCTGAAGGTGAAAACTTCAACATCGATGGCAATGAAGGCGCAAGAGTGACGTGCGGTGAAATGCGAGGGGCCGTCCGAGTGCACACCGCAAGCATCGGTGGAACGCAAGCGCAAGTCCTTCGATCAGCCGCTGCAGCGAATGCGCATAGTGACGCGCACGGTCGTCGCAACCCTGCACGACCAAGTGGTGGCAGGCCCTCGTGGATGGCAAATGCGTCAACGGTACGCGATGGTGGAATCGCTCCGAAATAGGGATACTTCAAGTTCTCACCCGACAAGATCGTCGTGCCAAAATTGCTTGAAGGTCGTCATAACTTGACAACATGGGTCGAGTCTATTGAACCGCAGTTGGAGATTGCGCAGCTGAAGAAGTTCGTTGACGGCATGGTGGAGGTGCCGCCTGAAGATGACGCTGAGCGGCGTGGACGATTTCATTCCGCACAGCTGTTAACGTTTACGGTTATCTCAAGGTGTTGCTCGCCGGTCGTCCAAGTTGCATTGAAGCCATGATGTCTCCGGGTGGAAGATGGTTTTCAAGCTTGGCAATTCATTATGAAGACCTACAAGGCAACGGATGACCTTTACATCGGCCAGCTGGAGCAACGGTTGACAAATTTGGAGATGGGGGAGCACGAAAGCGCAACCGCATACTGCAATCGTGCACAACAAATTTTTGTAGATCTGCGTATGGCTAGCGTGGACTACTCAATGTCTTCGTATGTCACGCATGTCATCAAAGGTCTGCCTGGAAGCTACAATCTCCTTCGACGCATGGTGAAACTCCCAGGTGTACGGAAAGAGCTCGACAAGGATACGCTTTCGAGCTACATCATTGAAGAGGAGTTCACACTCGAATCCGAGCGGCGCAAGGAGCAGCTTCTTCCGCAAGTTAACTATGCCATATTGAAGCAGAAGTATCCGCAACAGAAGTGGGGGAAATCGCGTGGAGGATGCGATAATGACAAACAAGTTAACCGCGCGAAGACGACCAAGGGCGACGAGCGTTCTCGTGCTGGAAAGCGCAACTCTCAACGATACCGCTTCGTTTGTGGAGACCCTGAGCACTTCGCAAACCAGTACCCCGACCGCGTCAACAAGGAGGTTGGCAATGGTCAGGAAGCTCCGCGCGGACGATCGCAGAACCGTCAACCTCGTCGCGAAACATCATGCTGTGAAGACAACCAGAACTCTGATTCCGAAGACGAGCAGCCGTCGGATGCCGGAGCCTCCCACAAAAAGGGTATGAAGGACGCCCCAAGTGATGATGTGGACCAAGCAGGGCAAGCGTCGTGTTCGATGGCCGTCGTGGTGACGGACACATCGTCGGAACCGACCATTTCCGTGGCTCCGAAA